CTCTTCTTACCTAAACTTCTTTCCTCAACTCCACCTTCTTAAATTTTCCCATTTTCTCTCTCCTTTCCTTCCTTCACCACTTAACTTTTTTTTCTGTTTTTCTCTTTATTTTTTGTTAATTTATTTTGATTTATCAACAATCCTTTCCATAAGCTTTTGAGTTTTAAATCCCACCCAACTTTTTTTGAAAGAGTCATCTATTTATGCTTCTCCTTCCTCTGTAACCACTTACTCAGAATTGCAGTGGCTCAAAAGAAATATGAGATGCGCAAATTTAGAGACATCTCCACTCCAAATGTTCATATGGACTCTTTGTGTCTGACCTGTGGCAGAACCTTCCGAGCTCACATTGGTCTGATCAGCCACAGTTGGATACAGTATACCTTGACCCCAACATCGTGATGTTATTTTGGTCTTTTTCAAGAACAAAGGACAACAACCTTTGACCACCCACTGACACTTCACCCTTTCGTAATCTGACTTCTTTCCCCATCACTCCACTGTAACTGCTCCCTCAGAGGTCAGCAAGGAACTCCCAATTATCAATCCTGGTGCCTATTTGTCAGTGCTCATCTTCCTTGGCTTCTCTGATACTTTTGGATTGGATATTATTGACCACACCCTCTTTCTTGAAACGCCTGCCATGGTTTCAGTCCCACTACATTATCTGATTCTCCTATCTCTCTGCTCTTCTGTCTCCTTCAGGAGGTCCTGGGTCCAAATCCAATCTCTTACACTTACTACCTGTATTAACCCTGAGATCAGGCATACAAGTCACTTAACTTCCTTAGCCTCAGTTTCCTTATCAGTAAAATAAAGGGGAGGGGGTCATACTAAATGGTCCCTGAGGTTCTTCTAGCTTCAGGTCAATGTAGATGGTCCTTGGCCCTTTCCCCTTTCCTCCCTATATTTTCATCCACTCCTACATCCCTGTGTAGGTGATTTGTAAATTTTTATCTTCAGCCCTAACTCTCTCTGGAGCTCCAGGCCTGCATTTCTAACTACCTGCCATGTCTATCATGATGCAGTGCTGGAAATTGAAATACGGGCAGTGATGTTTTTTCTTTGGCTTTGTGTTCTCAGTGTCTAGTTCAGTCCTTGGCACATATAAGTTCTATCTAATTGATGCTTGACAGATCAGGTTGCATACCTCAACAAACTCACCAATGTCCATAGCACTCTAGTTCCTCTCTTTGATTTCAATACTTCTCTTTGGTACTGCTATCTTCCCAATCACACAAGGTTCAAAACCGTGAAGTCACATTTAGCTCTTCCTCACCCTAAATATCCAATTAGTTGTCATATCAGCAATCTCTCTAGCATCTGCTTCTTTTCATACCTACCATCACCAACCAAATGCAGTTCCCAGGTACTATAGCTTGGGCTATTACAAAAAAACAAAACAAAACAAAAAATTGATTCTCAGTTCTCCCACATTCCAAACTCAATCCCAAAGAATACCACCTCCTAAAGCACAGTTCAAATAATGTCTTTTCCTGCTTAAACACTTTTAATAGTTTTTCATCATCTACCAAATAGAGTTCAAAGTCCTCTGCCTACAAAATCTGACCCCAATCTGCATCTGCCTACCCTACTACCTTTCTACTACCTCCCTACACATATCCTAAACCAGAGTTGGGGAACCTGTGGCCTCAAGGCCCACATGTGGCCCTCTAGATCCTCAAGTGCAGCCCTTTTATTAAGGGGATTTATTCTGTGAAGTTTAGATTCAAAGGGCCTCACCTGAGGATCTTGAGGCTGCAGGTTCCCCACCCCTGTTCTAAACTCTAGTCAAATGCAACTCTACTTACTGCTACCTGATTATACCAAGTGTATTTTCTCTTTCCCTATTTGCCTTTGATCATATAGTTCACTCACCCTGGTAGACCCTCCCTTCAGAATTTGGAGTCAGGAACATCTAGGTTCAAACCTGTTTGGGCCTCAGTTTCCTCATCTAAAAAATAAGCAAATTGGACTGGGTGGCTTCTAAGTTCCCTTTCAGGTCTGAATCTATAATTTCACAGCCTGCTCTGAGTCCCTAATGAGATAATGGATGTAAAATGCTTCTCAAGCTTTGAAATACAATCCAAATGCCAATTATTATCATCTCTACTGTTGAAATCCTAGCTAAAGACAAAGAAACAGTCCCTGCCTTCAAGAAGCTTACCTTCTGTTAGGGGAATACAACAAGTGCACAAGTAAAGATAATGAATATACCTTGTGAGATGCAATGTGACTTGGTGGTTACAGAGCTGACCTCAGAGTCAGGTAGACCTGGGTTCTGGCTTCTGGTTGTGTGACCCTGGGCAATTCACCTCTCAATGCATGAGACAAGACTCCAAGGCTATTTGAATTTGCAGAGCAGGCACTGATCTGTGTTGTAGAGAAAGTTCTTCCCTAGGAGTTCCCTACAAAGGCAAAATCACAAGTCTGGTGCAAAAACAGTATACCTTGGGCTTCAATCTGGTGGCAGCTAGGTGGTATAGTGGGTAGAACACTAGACCTGGAATCGGGAAGACATGAGTTCAAATCCAGCCAGACACTTACTAGCTATGTGACCCTAGACAAGTCACTTAACCTCTGTTTGCCTCAGACTCTTCAGCTGTAAAATGAGGGTAATAATAGCATCTCCTTTCTAGGGTTGTTGTAAGCATCCAATGAGACAATATCTGTAAAGAGCTTTGTAAGCCTTAAAGGACTGTACAAATGCCAGTTTCCAATTATTTGTATTCCTGTCTTACCTCTCCTAGTTGACTAGAAGCAGAGAACTTTCCTTTACCAAGCTTTGGCTATTCACACCATAGCACAGATCCCAGCTCTGGGTAGGAATGAGATGTTTTTTTAATTGCATAGGAAGTAAGCTTCACCTTCCTAAATACCCCGCCTTCCCCCTCTAATCCCAATGTGAGCCATCTCTCCTCTCCCTGAATGCCCTCCACACCCAATTTCCCCACCCCCAGGCTCTCAGACCTTTAGCATGCACAGTCCACGAGGTTCTTGGTTGCGCACCAGGGACTTATTCTGTCCCAGTTTACCCAAAGATGACTCATGTGCCTGGCCACAGAGAAGACTGCAGCTCCTCCTTCCCAGCAGCACAGTATTCTTACAGCCAAATGAGCACAGTTTTTCCATCTCATGTATATCTCGTGGCATAGCCAAGGCCCAGTTTCTGTCCTCCCCTCTTCCTTACCCCACTACCCCACACAGAGTTCCCAACCTATTTTCTGTCTAATCCAAAGAATCCTAAAATTTGAGAGACTTTCTGTTCTTGCTTAAGAATACAGCAACATTTGGGAGCCATTAAAACATTCCTAACACTGGAAGAAAGATCTTTCTCTCCCAAATCAGGATCAAGTGGCCCCAAAGACAAGACATTCCATGGCTGGGAAAGTGAGAGTGCTCTAGGCCCTGCTCTGTGGCTATGTGACCTTTGATAAGCTGCATTCTTTCTCAGAGCATTCTGGGAAAAGGGGGCTCTTACCCCCATGAGTGGGAGAGTGGTACAGAGCTCTGGCCGGTATGTATGGCAGAGCATGGAGCATTCCTTGCTGATGGGAAAACCAGACCACAGAAAGGAAGGATTGGGGTCCAAGCCTTAGGCATTGAGGGAGGAGTGGAAGTCAGATCCAACCAGCTACCTTCATCTACTCTGCTCCTACTTCTTGAAGGCCATGGGATCCAAAGAACTATTCCTTCAAGGCCCTTGTTTATTCAGGCCTTTGCTGAACAATTTTCCCTATCCTCCCTCCCCATGCCTCACCTAAGTTCAGGCCTTCACCTGGGAGTGAGGAAGTTCACAACCTGGTGTGATAGGACAGACTCCACAAAGTCCTGGTCTGAAACCCCCAGTTTCATTACTTTGGGTTAAACCTTAAAGGAACAGGGATTTTCTATTAAAAGGTCCCCTTAAATGATGAATCCTACCTAGGAAGGAAGGAGACAGGACAACTCTCTGCCACTGTACCTATTAATATGGATTTTTTGAAAAGTCAAATTAGCTATTACCTTGGAAAGAAGAGAGCTCACTGGGCAGTGGGGAATGGAACAGAAGACAGTTCAATTTTAATGGAAGACGGTGGCTTCACTGAGCTAGGAAAAGGTGGGAGTACAGGCTGGGGGTGGGGCACAATGGGAAATCTTAGAAAGCCAGTGGGCATCTAATATAATTTCCTTTGAGTTTAAGGATTATCTCGCTTTTGTATTTGTATCACAAAGGCTTAGCATAATCGCACTTAGTAAACTGTGTTAGTTGATTGATAGGTTGAAGAGGGCCTTAATTGCTTGAAGACTAGAGGGAGGGGTACTAAAATTACTTTAGGATTCGTGAGTCCTATGCCACCTGGTCTTGCTACTCTACCCAGGACACCCTGGATGAGATTTGTGTTGGCCAATCTTTGTGTTTTGCTTGGGGGATGGTGAGGTGGGGGATGTGGGAGACAGTGAAAAGGTGTGGAAGGGAGTTGGTACCCAATATATAGGGGTCTGTACTTGCCAACTGAGTCCTGCATGACCCAGGGCCTCTCTTTCTCTTCAGCCTTAATGCATAAATCATGGAGTGGGTGGAGGGGCAGAGAGAGAAATAAATAGTTCCCATCTTGTTCCTATTCCCTAGTTTTCAACCAGCCTATAAATGAGTCCCAAGGCAGAGTATAAAGAGGGAAGGGAGTTCAGATAACCTCCATCCAGGAAGCAGAGCAAATTCCTAGGATTCCAGTCCACCAAGTGGAGTTTCTGGAGGAGGGGAAACTTTTGAGGGATCAGTGATAATTTGTGGTGGTCACCAGAAGGCAGGGTGGGAGTGGGGTTTGGGATGGCCCATCCTTGCCTCTCTTCTTCCAGTTTCTACCAAATGGAAACTCTCCCCAGTATTCCTAGGTTTGAATACCCACCTCCCCAACCAAACTTGAGAACCAGAAGTATCTCTGAGTTAGGGCCAGGAGAAAGAAGCCATGGCCTCTACTGTGGATTCGGCGGGCAAAAAAATTCACTCAAGTCAACAATGTTGTCACTACCCTTTGTCAGGGACAACTTCATTCTGTAACTGGCATGAAATGGTAATGGCAAGGCCCCTGAACCCTAACACCACAGCTGGGGAGGGAACAGGTATGAGGTCATGGGAGTACAGAGAAGGGGCCTAGATGGAGGGTCCCCCAAAAGGACCTAAGCAGCAACAAGTCCCAAAGATTGGGAACTAAGCCCCATCTGTTCCATTCCCTTGGAGTTGCTCCCCAAATGCAGGAGTTCAGAGACAGTCACCATGGCTCCTCTTGAAGGCACACTAGGCTAAGGCTGGCCCCACCTGCCTCTTGCACATGGTCCTAGAAGGCCCCAGTCCATGACTGAGGGAACATCCGCTTCTTCACTGGGTAAGCACTGTGGCCCACACTGTGATTGATGACAGTCTCTTGGGTTGAGAGAATGGGATTGCACATGAGGAATAGAGGTTCTTCTGAGAGTAGTGAGAGGCCCTCAGTAGCCTTTCTGGCCTCCCACTACCCAGGAGAAGGAGCAAACCGAAGACAGATAATTCAGAGCCGTCTGTGTCTCTATAGAAGGCAGTGACATTTCTGGGACCTCCAGGGGCAAGATCTTCATTCTCAGTCCTTCCTGACATTCCACTCTCCTCCCCAGGAGAGGCAAAGTCCCATGGACCAACTCTTTCCTTCTGCTCCTGCCCAGTCCTGAGTCCACTTCATTCATCCTGACCAGCAGGGACAGTTCAGGCTCCCCGGTTTCAGAAAGGGCTGGGAAACTGAAGAGGGAGAACAATGATTAGGGCTAAGCAACAACCCAGGGCCATCACCAGTAAGCAGAGGACAATGGCCAGGTGGAAAGGCAGCCTCATACAGAAAGGCTTGTAGAGGGCAGGGGGAGTACGTAGCAAGGGTAAGAAGTTGCCTCTGAGGGACCAGGGCCATCCTAAATATCGGCTAAGACAACCATAATGGGGTTTGAGTTGTATTAGAGATATATTTTTTCAGACCCTGAAAGCTAACTCCACCTCCAGCCCTCTCCTTATTAAAAAGAGGAGGAAGAACTGGGAGGATCTGAGACTTGGATATGAAATTTTGAAGCACAGGGAAAGCATAGAGATCTCTCTAAAGAAAGACTGAAGGAGATTAAGAAACTTTAGAGATTATTTAGTCTAACCCCTTCATTTTGCAGACGAGTAAACTGAGACCCAAAGAAGGGAGAGGATTTGCTCCAGGTCACTCTGTCTTCATGGCAGAAGCAGGATTGGAATCATGGTCTTCTGACTCCTAGCCTAGAAGTCTTTGTACCAGATCATGCTGCCTCCTCCTCCTCTACCCTGAAGTCTTGTGCCTCCCTCCTTCCCCACCCCACCCCCAAGGTGGATGGTATCTGGGGCAGAGGGCATTGGGCTGGGATTCAAGTTTCCTGGGTTCTATTCCTGACACCCCCTCCCACCAGATGAGTTAGTTTCCCCTTAGCTTGCTCTGTCTGCCCCTCCTCCTTCAACGGGTCATTGCTTCCCTGGGAATATGAAACGTCATGAAGAATGAATCATAGTGTTGCCCTGTGCACCCAGTGTTTCTCTATGCCTGTCTGCTGCTTTAGCATGTCCAGTCTCTGCTCCTCTAGACCCCATGCCTACATACCGGCCTTACTCACTCTGAGCAGGACAAGGTGTACAATCATTCTCCTCACCTTCTGCCCTACCTCAGGCATACCAGGGAGTACCCTGTCTCTTCCTGTTCCTTAGGGAAGGGAAATGCCTATGTATCTCTCAGGACCCTACTTGATTTCCTGTCCTGAGTCTGGAGACCCTGAGGAAGAAACTGCCCATACCTACAAGATACTTCTCCCCACCTTTTGAATCCATCACATTGCTGGTACACACCATCACCCCTCTACCTATGTGAAGAGCACTAGCGCCCCTTTGGTCACTTTGATCCTGAGGGTCTCTCCCTTGGCAGTGAAAAGAGGGGAAAAACTACCTCCTTTAATCACTGGCCAGTTGCTGGTAGGATGAAGGGCATCCAAATGCCCTCTCTCTTTGGAGTAGACAGCACCTGAGATGAAAGGTTTCCTTCCCTATACTGGCCAAGATTTTAAGGTAAAGGATTTAATTCTGTAGCATCTAAGTTTTACTTCTGAAACCCCCACCCACCCACCCACACTTCCTTTTTCACTGGAGATTAAGAGTTGGAGGAACAAGAAACCTGCCCTGGAAGTTAGAGCTCCTGGATCCTGATATCCTGTCCCCTCAGCCTAGACCTCTTCTTTTCCTGTCCCTTCTTCTCCTAGTAGAGAGAAGGGAACCCTCACTATACCCCAAAATGAGGGAAATCCATTAACTAGTTTGTGACACAAAGAAAATCCCTTTCTAGGTCCAAGTTTCTATATCTGTAAAATAAGGGTGTTGGACCAGATGAACCTAAAGGTACCTTCCTGCTCTAATATTCCAGGAGTTCATGACTTTAATCTACAATTCCATGATTCCAATCCTGCCTGACATTCTATGAGTCTTATATAGGATCCCAAGACATGGGGATTTCAGTCAGTCTCATTCCAATCCTCAGTCCCTCACCGAATCTCCAGCTATCCTTAGATCCCTAATTTTAGGATTGCCAAATTACTGAGGAACCAGCTCTGAAGCCCCTTCCTCCCTTCTTTTTTTTCTTTTGAAGGTTGTGGCTGGTTACAGTAGTCTGTGGAAAAGGTCAGACAGGGTATCTGATGGGAGGTGGGAGAAGCAGAAACTCTTGGCCCAGACTAACAAGATGGGTTGGACAGTCAGGGAAAGACTACATCGACTATATCAACCCATGAGATTCTTAATCCTCTTCACGACTAAAGATGGTGGTTACTCTGACTGGGTCTTCCACATGGGCCAATGAGGCCTCATCGCCTGGAGCAAGTGGGAGATTGTTTGCCAGATCACCCTGGGTTCCTTTCTTTTATAACCAGACCCCTTACCCTTCTTTTTAACCTGTGCTCTCAGCCAAAAAGTAGCGGTCCCTCTCTCGACTTGGCCCCCTGCCCTTTGGCTGTTTGCCAACAAGGAAGGCGTTTAGGCATGAATTACTGGGTCTCCTGTCATTGGATTCATTGTTCCCCCGACTCTGTTGTCAGAGCCCGGACCCTGGGCCTGGCCAGGACTTCTATGTCCACCGCCAGCTTCCCTGCAGTTCAGGGGACAGGAGTTAATTGGGCTCTCCACCCCCACAGAGCCAGGTCACTAACCTGATATGGTTCCCCGGACGGAAAGGACAGCAGGATTGAGGTGGAGCATGGTGAGGGGAGCTGGGCCTAGGACACCAGGGTCCCTGGCCCAAGACTCTGCCGGGCTCGAACAGTCTGGATGGCCTGTTGGTTCTTGAACTTGACCAGACCCAGAGTGATCTGTGCGTTCCAGCCAGGATCCTCGAGGGGGCAACGGAAGTCGATCTCCCCGCCGTCCTCGGTCACCAGGGTGAAATAGATATGCCGCTCCGTGCTCTCCACGCACTCCACAGCCTTGATTCGATCGAAGCTGAGCTCCTTGGGCCGCCCGCCGGTGCCTTTGACCTCGAAGAGCTGCAGCCCCCGCTCGGTCAGCACGCACCGCTTCCTCTTCCAAAGCTGCAGCAGCCCCCCGCTGCGCTTCTCCAGCACCCCCTCCTTCAGCACCTTCGCTGCCGCTGTCGTCATCTGGGCTGCGAGCCCGTCTGCCTCACAGTCCTCAGACTTTGGTCATGCCCCTGGGGCCAGGCTCCCAGAGACCCTCGCCGGCCACTTCCCAAGAAAGTGGTGTAACAGACAGCAGGTACACTACGACATGTACCCCAGGACTGATTGCACTGGACCCCAGTCCTCGATCTATCCCCCGCCTGGCTGTGTCCTGTGCCCCGCTATATAGGATCTGCCCCTAATCTGTCCGTACCCTCAATTTACAGCCTTCTCTTTACACCCTTTCCGACGACACCCCTCTCTTCCCTTTATGCCCCGCCTGGCAGTCCCCCAGCACCGATCTGTCGGCCCCTGGGCATCCAGAACCTATAAGTCCCCGTCTTCTGCGGCCCCTCTGCCCTCGCTCTCTCCCGGCCTGGCCTGCCTGTCTATGCACCCCCTGCCTTCTCCCTCCCCGTGGGCTCTGTCCGGGCGCTCAGCACAGCTCCGAGGATGTGCCCTTACATGTTCCTCTCCTCTCCTCCCGCCCTGCCCCTCCGTGCATTCCTGGCCGGCTCGGCCCCGCCCCTCCGCAGGCCTGGCCCTGGCCCAGACACAGCCTCAGGGGGGCGGGGCGGCAGCTGGGACTCATTCACAAACTGGCAGGCCCGGGGAGCTGACAGGGAGGGGCGGGGGGGGATGGAAGAGAGAGAGAGGAGGGGAGGGGAGGGGAGGGGAGGGGAGGGGAGGGGAGAAGGAGAAATGAGGACTGAGAGGGGGAACTGCTTGTCCCAGCAGCCCAAGTCTTATTCGATCTCTTCTGCAACTTCTTAGGCACTGTCCCCGTCCCCCCACCTCCATTTCCCGGCCCCTCCCTTCACCCCGGCCGGGCCAGGGGGCTAATGGCCTCGGCCTGTGCTGCTGCGGGTGGGCCTGCCAGGGGATGTGTTCCATGGCTATGGAGAAGGGTATGGATTGGGAGTGCAGGTTTGGAGGGGCCTGGCAGGCTCTGGCCCGCCTCTAGTGCTTCCCGGTATGTAAAATGCTTGCACGTGCACCCTCACCCAAAGAAGCCCTTCTTCATTCACCTTCTGGCAGTTTGGCCAGCTCGCCTCCGCTCTACAGCAGGAAAGGTCAGAGTGAGCCTCACATTTTCAGGGCACGTATGTGGGGCATAGGCCAAGTCCTTTTTCCTCGCTGGTGGTCCCCCCAGATTTTCCCATGCCAGGCTGAAAAGAATACATTTGAACTAGGGACCAGACTAGGCTTTGGGCTTGGGGGTGGAGGTGAGGGAGATAAGGCACAAGCAAGGGTCTGAAGCAGCTGTGGCTCCCTAGCTTAAGGATGGGCAGAAGCAGTTGAGCCTGGAAAAGGAAATGGGGATAAGGGAGTCACTGTGCCCTTACCCAGGGCCCCCTTCTCTCCTTCCCGGCTGGGTGAGAGAGGAAGTACATGGACCAGCTGTGTTGCCCAGTGCTCTCAGTCACTTTCAGTTCTGAACTAAAATCTGCCCCAGAATCTCTCACCTCAGACCCCAGGAGCTAGCGGTCTCCACCCTGCTATCCTAGGCTCAGAGAGGGTGGGGTTGTAAGGTGTCCTGTTGGGGATGGATTGTGATAGAGATATGGATTACCTCCTGATTCTAGAAAATAAAATGCAGCAGGAAGGAAATGAAGGCCTCTTCCTATATCCTGTCTCTCTTCCGTGTAGGGAAGGAAGATCATCTTGGGCATGGGCCCTGAGAATGGGAACTTAATCTCCTGGGGTCTATTCCCGGTTACCCACCTCTTTGTTGATTCCACATAATTTCACCTCCCCAGGCATTGGTTTCTTAAAGGTCTGTTAGCACTGTTTGACACATGTTAATAATAGATTATTACATGATTAATAATATATAATAATGTTGTTAATGAGGATTCCTAGTGTGAGCACCTCGTGATTCTGTCCTGCTCTGTGCCCCAGAACCTAACGGTGTCATCCACAATACTTGCCTTGTCTGAGCTGGCCTTTGTCTGGAAGGGAAAGAGGTGAGAGGCTCTTTTCTTTGTGCAAAACTCTTGAGGTCTCTGCCCTTCTCTTCTTAGCAACTTGCAGGGATGGAATAGTGTAAAGCAGGGGTGGGGCCACAGACACTGCCTGCAGGAGAGTGGCTCCCCCATCTCAGTCGCCTCTCACCAGCCGCCACCAGCTCAGACCAGTTGTTCTAGGGAAGGAGCTGTAGAATTTCTAGGTGAGAAGCCTCACATGGCAAGATCAAACATTTAGAGCTTGAAAAAACCTCAGAGTGACGTCATCTTGTCCAATGAGGAAACTGAGGCCCAGAGAAGTTAAGGGATTTATCCAAGCTTCTACAGATAGCAATTGGCAGAGGCAGGACTGGAACCTAAGTCCTTTGACTCCAAATCCAAACACTCTTCACACCAAGGGTGGGGAACCTTCAGGCTCGAGGCCACATGTGGCCCTCTAGGTCCTCAAGTGTGACCCTTTGACTGAATTCAAACTTCACAGAACAAATCCCTTTACTAAAACAAATCTCTTTAATAAAAAGGCCTTCTAGGTCCTTGGGTGCAGCTTTTTGACTGAGTCCAAGTTTTACAGAGCAAATCTTTTTATTAAGAGGATTTGTTCTGTGAAGTTTGGATTCAGTCAAAGGGTCACACTTGAGGACCTAGAGGGCCACATGTGGCCTCGAGCCTGAAGGTTCCCCACCCTTGGTGTGAAGAGTGTTTGGATTTGGAGTCAAAGGACTTAGGTTCCAGTCCTGCCTCTGCCAATTGCTATTTGTATAATCTTGGATAAATCCCTTAACTTCTCTGGGCCTCAGTTTCCTCATTTGCAAAAGGAGGAAATTGGACAAGATGACGTCACTCTGAGGTTTTTTCGAGCTCTAAATGTTTGATCTTGCCATGTGAGGCTTCTCACCTAGAAATTCTACAACTCCTTCCCTAGAACAACTGGTCTGAGCTGGTGGCGGCTGGTGAGAGGCGACTGAGATGGGGGAGCCACTCTCCTGCAGGCAGTGTCTGTGGCCTGTCTAAGTAGGAGAAGAGAAGAAGGTCTAGGATATCCTTCCTCATCCTGGCCGTCCATCCAGTCCAGATACTTCACCCTCCCTACTTGGCAGACGGCACTGACGCCCTCCAGGGCATCATCAAAATGCCAAGATACTAGGCAGAACAATCCAAACCTGCAACCTTCCTACCTCAAATAGGTCAACAGTTGATTCAGTCACTATGCCTACAGGATGTCCTGAAAGGAGGAAGCGGCACTAGCTTGAATCAAGAGACTTGGGTTCCAACCCCAGTTTGGTCAATAGCTGTGACCTTGGAAAAAGTCAGTGTGACTCTCTGGGCCTCAGTTTCCTCATCTGTAAAAGGGGAGGGGAGCACTGAATGAGATGAACTCTAGTAAAAACAACCAAAAGCATTTATTAGGTACCTACTATGTGCTAGGCACTTAGATACAAAGACAAAAATCCAATAGCCTCTGCCCTCAAGAGGCTTTCATTTTTCTGAATCGAAGCTCTCTTCCAGCTCTAACCTTCGAGCATCATATTTTCATAGTCCTAGATGCTATCACCCACTTGGAACAGACAGAATTCCACCTTTCTTTTTGAACCACTGCTCTACATGTTCTTCCTGGCCTAGGGTAGTAAGAAGGGCCAAAGGAAGGATGATTAAGGGCTAAGAAAGGAAAAGGAACAGGGTGGGGAGGTGGGATGGTGAAGATACTCAGGACTGGGAACAGAAGCCAGTTCTAGACATAACTTATTTCATTCACTCAACAAGCATTTATTAAGGGACTACTGTGTATGTTCCAGGCCCTGTACTAGGGGCTGAGGCTGCCAAGATAAAAATGAAATAGTCCCTGCCCTCAAGGACGTTGCATTCCATTAAAGCACATAACATAGACTCATATAAGTAAAAGCAAAGGAGAAGATACTAGTAACTTAGGAGATCAGGAGTAGATGCAGGGTCTTTGAAACCCAAGAGTTCTGGTCTCTGGTCTCATGATCCTCTGATAGGGGAGACTGGCTCACCCTGGATCTCTTTGTGGCATGGGCAGCTCCCCTGTCAGTATTGTCAAGTGGGGACTCTGGCCCCAGGAGGGATCAGTTGGGCCATTGGAGAGCCCAGAGGTATATGAGCTCTGGAGTGGTGAATCATGACAGTAACTAGTACTCTCACACCTTCCTGGTCTTTCTTACCTCCTAGCTCAGACCCTCTGGCCACCTCCTAGGAACAGGGATGCTCCAGTTGACCTTCTTAGGGAGTGTTATCTGGCACAGTACCAGGCACAGAACAGATGCTCAGCAAACACTTGTTTACTTGACTTGTTGGCTTGACACTGGACAGAATGTCCCTTGGCCTTTGCCCAGAGCTGGCCTACTTGCACTGCCCACCCAAAGTAGAAAGTTGATCTGACCCACCAGCACAGGCTCAGGTCTGGGCTTTGCCCTCTGGTCTAGAAGAGAATTTCTCCAACTCCCACTCCCACTCCCCTACAAAATGGCCCCAGGATCTGGTAGAGTTGAAACAGCTATAGCTTAGACCAGAGGGAATATAAAAAAGATATAAACATAATATTTATAACATAAATATAAAATAAAAATAATATAAAAATAAATTTATATAAATATAAAAAAGAATTAGCCCCAACATTCCTTCTGGCTTCTTAGGGGCTGGAAGGTAGAAAAGCCTGAAGGTAAAGGCAAGGGTGGGCTTGGGGGTAGTTGCCTCAGGAACAAACCAGAGTAGGGAAACCAAAGCAGAGACAACATGTTGATGAGAATAATTCAGAAATTCCCAAAGGTGGAGAATCACAGGCTCTAATTTTCACCACTTGGCTTCAGGCCCCTCCTAGGGCATCCACAGGAGGGCAAGCAACGCAAAGTCTATGGGGGTGAGAGGAATGGTCCTTTTAGCAGGTACAGAGATACACACCAAGTGAAGTCAGATAGGTGGGCAGAATATCCAGGAGCTCAGATACCTGTTATTCCTCCACTGCCAACAGGGGAATAATAACAGTGTAGGTCTCACCCTCCCTTCTAGCAGAGTCTGGCTTCCTGGGGCAGCTCAGCGCCCCCAATCAATGCGCAGAGCATTGGGGCGGGGAATGGTTTACATGACCTAAATTGGCCACCAGCATAGAAAAATGCTTCCCTTCCTCAACAGGACCACACCTAGGAAGGGCTTCACCTTTGAGCATGAGACCTGAGAAGCGCAGAATCTCACAGCTAAAAGAAATCTCCTACATGGACAGGAACCTAACCTACAAAATCCTTGAAAAGTGGTCACCCATCCTGTGATTGAAAACCTGGGGAGAAACTATAGGCTTTTACTACTCTAGAATGGTTCCAGTCCCAAATGATGTCACCCTGGAAGGGGATTTATAGCATGCAGCAGAAAGTATTAAACTCGTATGCAATCAAAAGGACCTGGATATCCTAGCACTTATTAACTGTGTGACCTTGGGCAAGTCACTTCTTCAAGTCCGTTTCTTCATCTGGAAAATGGGGATAATA